TTACAAGTTCACCCTTACTATCCAGAATTCTTCAATTTTGAATACTCGTGTTACCAAACTTTTTTTGTGATGTCGTGGCCTGTGTATTCCAAGCCATTTAGGAATGTCTGATATTTTAATTAAACTGAACACCAGCTCCATGCATCCAGACTCGTTAGTCCTTGCGGTATTAATTCGCAGCATTCATAACCTTTATAGCATGTTGAATTATTTTCGATGAAGAAAAGTTATGTCCGCATCAATGCCCTGGATAGGGAGGTTAATCCATGAGCAGTTAAGTCCACACTATAAGCACCATGCTTTAACATTTGCATTTATCACAGCTGACGTATGAAACAAAAGAGGTTCATGATGACGTCTGAGGTTTCTATAATGGTGAAAATGTGAATCATGGTCTTCTGGGCCGTGACACCACGTTGTCTTGTCAAGGGCTATCAAAATTTCAGAGAGATGTACAGCTTCCATTCTCATCTATCCTAAAGATGGAAGTAACGCATCCTTCCAAAATTATGGTAATCACTTTTAAGAGTACATTGCGTCGCGATCCAGAAAAACCATGATCCACAAGTTTCGTGTCAAATTGAAACATTCCGAACTGGAATATCAGAAATTGTGGCTAACTTTCATCAACCCTTATATCAACAATTAATATATTTATTTGGGAAATTAATATGTACAATTAATTTAAATGCTTTAATATTGCACACTAAGTTCTCAGATAATGACAGTATGCAAAGAATTTCCTCACATTCAGTTCAAACAAAAGCCTTCCTTTCTTATGCATACTGTTCCACGGAAGCTAATAAACGTTCATGAAGGAAATATATAGCAGTCACTATGAAACAAACAGAACAATCATAAAAGACCAAACACAAAATGAAAATATGCTCTTACAATTAAAGTAACCTTTTGCCTATGAAATGTTTACCCACTGAGGTCTATACTGAGAGCTTTAAGCCCATATGTACCTGTAATCTTCTTTAATGACCCGAATAATTCCACGCTAATCATAAAGTTGGCATAAATGTAAATGAACAAAACAGGCCAGTGTTCAAAGCACTGTTTCATATTATAAGTATTGCACAACTTCCCACACACTGAATAAACATTACAATAGGAAGAGAATTTATTTTTACGTAACAGAATTATGATTTTAACAAAGTCAGTTCGATCATTGTTCTTATTTATTTATGTTTGGTGTACACTGCATGCATGTTGAGCTAAAACTGAACATAACACTTAATATGTGACATATTTATATATATTAACTTTATAGCAAGGGATATAAATATAAATATTAGTGCCCAGAACATAAGTAGGAGCTCTTCAAATTATTATATTTTAATTTTGACAATTATACTTAAATAGCATGTTTTATGTATTGTACAAGAAATACATACTTTTTTATATTTCTCTGTTTCTCATGTATATATTTAGTGAGTTTCATAACCCCACTTTGGCCCATCTCATATTAATTGAATTCAGATATTAAAAATCCGATGGGGACAAAGCAATCGAAAGTTCCAAAGAATAATTTCACACCTTAAACACTTATCAGTTACAACAAAACTGCCCAAAAGTGATAAACAGTTAATACTTTGTCTATGAAAAGTGATAGAAACTCAGTTTATTATTGCGCCATGAAGTTGTATAAATAAATATGCCAGAAAACATTTTCTTATAGGTTAAAGTAACCTGAGTTTACAGTGCCTTTCGCTTGGCAATATTTATGCACCTCTTTAATTTTTGTAGCATGAAGTAATAATTGATGACACATGTTCAATCTTCCTTAACACCTGTAGTCAGAATATTCTTTACCATTTATTCACTTATTTATAAGAGCTACTCATAAAAGGAATGGTGCAGAAAGCAGCACAGCTTGAGTGTTTACTGTGTGGAAAACATAACCTTACTTTAAATTAATATGACTGAAATATATTTGTGTAAATTAAGCGCTTGAACAAATGGCCTGGTGATCATATTTGAGAGCCATTTCATAAATTAATGAGCTGTGAGAAGATTACATCTCATTATTAACACATCTGCGGATTTATACATATTATGTCACTCGTTCAGAACGCAAGTACACCCAAGATGAAATATCTTTATCTGCCTTCTCTCTGTTTCTGTCAATAAGATATCACAAAGTTTTAATGCTTTTGATTACTGTATGAACTTCTTTATTAATATATTGTAAAAGGCATAGATGCAAGCCAATTATGAAGACAGGAACCATTTAACACCACAACAGTTGCAAAATTTTTGTATGTTTAAAATTTTAAGAATTTTAAAAGTATCAATATTAAAGAAAGCAGCCATTATGTATCACAGTCCAGCATTATAATAGAAAGTAATTTATTAAAAATATAAAGACATTTCAGACATGTATGCAAAAATGTGAACTTGAAGGAAATATTGTTTTAACAGGGATAAAATGTATTTACCTGTACACTCACGCCAACCGCAAGACCAAGAGGATTTAACGTTTATCACGCAAGAGCTGGGGCAAACCCCCTGTACAATGGTGCTGCTGGTCAGACTTTAATTCCAGGGTTGCATACCTTAAAAGTACACTGCTCTGAGCCATAGACAGCTGGACGATGTGTGAGCTGTAATGCACACCTCATAAATGTTAATACATTTCAAATGAATTTAAAACAGAGCGACATTAATAAAGTGTAACAGATTAAGACTTTTTTAATATTATACACAACTTGATTGTCTTGTGAGCTCTTGAATATGGTATACAGACCATTAATGCACACTTGTCTGTTCTAAATTCCGAACATTCTGAATCCTTTTGCCTATTTATTCTGTTGAATTGGCTGGCTGTAGCAGCTCCACTGCGTAAACTTTCGAGATGTAAATTTTATGAGAAACTCAGAATGCTTTACAAATACATTAGATGTAACCTAACCTCAAATTGAAGTTAGTTTAATATCTTCCATACATGCATTACAAACACATTATATTAAATTTCTCTTTTCTAGATAAAGCTACTAATACAGATTACAGAATTGTCACAGTAGGCTGCAGAGTGCACAACAAAAGCTAAACACAGATGTGCATTGCGTTATGCATATTTGGTGCCATGTGCTTTTATTTAAATTCATATAAATCCAATGAAAGGTGTGTAGAAAATTACATTACCCCCACCATGCTTTAGAGAAAAATTTGTGAATTAAGAATACAACAATACAATGAATATTTCCATACTCTAATGTTTGTTTAGTGTTAATGTTACAACCCTGTATTTTCACATATGTTCAAGCAGCAGGGTAGGAGGTTGTGCACTAATTCATCTCTCTTAAGATGGAGACCAGCGACAAGTTCTTGTGCACTCGGTGAATGAATCTTCAGGTTCCAGAAATCATAATTTATTGAAGAATTGAATTACTACTAGCTTCTCAAGGAGGACTCTGCGCAATTGGCGAAAACGATGTTGCACAATTTTACAAATTAAATTTTGATCATTTGGATAATAGACAACTATTTACGTTGAATATCTGCAAGGAACCTTCAATAAGTAACATTTTCATTCTAAACTTTCTGAAACTGTGAAAATGTGACATTCATCAAAACAGAACCACATTAAGACACGCTGTAGCCCATTATACATCAAGAAATTACTTTATCGTTGCGACTGTAATGGGAATTTAATTTATGGATACAAATCCTTTAGCCAAATTTTGGCATCAAAAATAGGTCCATGTTGTGCTTAGTTTATAAATTTTAATTTGGCATTTATGAAGTTACGGTATTCATGTTTCTGGAAAATATTTCCATTAAGGATATCAAAATTGAATTATGAAAATTTGTCAGAAGGTTGTTGAGTAAATACTGATAATAAAAATAAATTTTATACAATGCTATTACACCAGTCTGATGCATCTGAACTATATATACGAGCTGTATGGTGGAAATTGGTTCAGTAGCATGGTACTTAGAATCTGTCTCACAGCAGGTTTGATAAAAACAGTCAACAGATTTTGATTTATTTTCATTTTGATGTAAGAAAGCAAAATTCAAAGGACCATACTGAAGTATGCAAGATGAAGTTATTAAAAGATGTTTGAAAATATAAATTTATAACTGTTACCTTAAGGTACGGATGTTCGCAATATGCAAATTATTTTATTCTCCGCGTTGAATATTTTCGTACATCAATATAGACCAATGTAGCTGCTCTCTTAACACTGCAACAGCTAGAATTTCATATACATAATAGATAATTAAACAATGCAGACCAGCTGCAGAGATTACGTGGCAACCAAACAAGATAAAAGCTAATTCTTATGCCACTTTAAAAATATATTTTGTGAATTTAACAGTTCAGAAACAAGTCACAGGTATTATAAAAAACCTGCAGAGCATAAAATATATCAATTGCTTTAACTTTAGAATACATTCTTAATGTTGCACACGCTTATTCAGTTGAATTATCTGAACAGGTTTTTATTTTATTATTCTCTTAGTACAACTCTGGATAACAACAGTAGTGGTTCAGGCATACAAAAATGTAAGAACGCTCGTCTACCAAAAGAATATTTAGACAGAATTAATTTAGAAGTGATGATCATATTTTTTCTGGTCAGTTCAGAATGACTAAACATTCATCATGCCACAAAATGTATGTGTTTTCTTTAAATAAAAAAAAATATCTTCTTTTTTTAAAAATCGTAACGGCAGAAGAAACAGAAAACAGTTCTTGTAAATATGGCGGATGAAGAAATGGGGTTTTCTACGTTTAATTATTTCAGTTTCTAGTACCAATAAAATGGCAATACAAATTATCACACTGAATTATGTACTGATAAGTAAGCAAATTTATAGATAATTGGTTATCTAATTCTTTCTGTCATTTTCTGCTACCATCAATCAGCAATAAACAAATGGAATGCATACAACTTCGTAATGAGAACTGGTTCAGACCAATCGTTGTTAACATTTTATCTAAGCTTTATGTCTATAGCTGACACACAGAACACTAAAATTTATTCTCACTATAAAATATAGCAATTTTTTTTTCCCATAATGCTTACAGATCTAAATTAAATAATTTCTTTAGCACATTCTTGCATTTATGGAATATAATTACTGAAGCAAATTTAAGCAATGAGTAAGCGCTAATAAGTTAAATCATCTTTATCCACTGGTGGTTACAATGAAACATAAACAATTACTGAATCCCACAACTTGACGATTCCTTCGGTGGCTGTTGACAAGTGAAAGTGACTTTGTCTTCATCACTTCCAGCATTACTCTGGTCCTGCTGGTCCATCAATAACTCATTAGATTCATGTACAAATGGTACAGGGTACACGACTAACAATACGGACGGTTTTTCTGGCAACGAATTTACGACAGACAGCGACGACGACGACGATGATGATGGAGTTGTAGTGTTTGATGAATGAGTGGATGGCATAATGGTAGTACTTACATTATGATTTGGACTGGATGTATTCGTGTAACTGGGGTGATTTATACTAATCTGTTTACTGTTTTGTCCTGCACACAGCACTCCACTAGGATAAGCATGTTTTTGCACACTTATTAAATTGCTACTGTTAAAGCCAGACTTTATCTCCGCGGGATTTTCGAGCAGTGACCTCGACTGATGTGAAAAATTTCTGTTTGTACAAATGTTGTTATTTTCTCTGTCACCATCAGAACTTGAAGCACAGGGTAAAGGCGCTGACATGGGGATGTTTATATTAGTAGCATGTGATGTAAAATTTGAGTTGTTATTCAATTTATCAGATTGTTTCTTCACAAGATGCACATTTTCATTTGTGGAGTACTTCAGTCTTTGATAAGGGTTACTTAAGGGATGAATTTTAGGCGAGGAAATGAGTTTGGATGAATGAGACCTTTTATCCATTGGTAGCATGGTTCTTAAAGAATGATTGATATTATATCTTGGTGTTGGTAAAACAATTGACAGAGGACGTGCTTGCGAATGTGTTCCTTTTGTATCGTTCAAAGCACCGTGTCTATTTTCATTAATTTTAGACGTATGAAATGGTAGTTTGATGGACAAAGGACGCGCAGAGGATGAAGGGACTGGTAACATCCTTCCGCAGTTTCTCTTGATCCCTGAAATGTTGCTGATGTTGCTAGAATTGTCATCTTTCTTTGACACCGCAAGAGTTGCAGTATTATTGTTTATTGAATTATCTCTAGACGAATCACCAATTTCATCAGGAAGTCCCTTGTAAGAATATCTACGGCCATAAACTTTCTCTGTAGAAATCCTGTTGTACAAATGGAAATCCCTTGATTTTACGCACTGTATTAAACTTTTCTTTTCTGACACTCTTGTACTGCATGAAATAGACTCCACATTTGTAGCTAAACTATACTCTTTTTGTAAAGAAATCTTGTTGTAGAACTCACCACAGTCCATGAGATTACTGGCCGAGTTCTCATTTTGTGGTGTATTTGTTTTGTAAGATTGAGCACCATTATGTATACCATTCTTGATGTCTGGCAGAGTTTCATCATAGGAATGATGTGTTGTTGGTTGAACATAAGTGTTAATCACTTGTGTATTTTTAACAGTATTGTTGTTTATGTTGTTGGAATGAATGTTGTTACCGCATGGTATGAAACCCTGAAGTAGCACACTTGTGGAAGGAACCTGAGGCAGATTGCGTCTACGGTTACCGTAACGGAAAATAGTAGCCGCGGTTGCTGTCAAGGTTTTATGTCACACTTCTTGCAAGAACTTCAGAGGGCATACTCCCTGCCGATTGTCTCCGCTGCGTATCATCACCATGCCATCCAACTCCTCTCCCACTTGTATCACAATCTGAAATAACACGATTTATTAATTTTGCACGTCTTGAACTGCAGCTGAGCTTCAGTGGGGTTACCATCATTCATTTCTTAATATTACATTTGGAACAATAAGGATGTATGATTTCTGTGAATGGACTTTGTTTACTTTGCCAATCACTGAAGACTCTGAAACTGCTCATACAAGATAGAAATCAAGGAGTTGCGAAATATGATAGATATCTTGGGCTGATGATATTTACATAAAAAATTAACCTGCTTTAATTTGATTTATCTCAAAATAATAATCATTACAGTTGCATAAACAACTTTTGTAGAGTGCAATTAAATATTTTTCATCAAAACATATACCAATAATTTAATTTGTATGTGTAAATTCAAAATGCAAAATATTTTTTTCTTCTAAGTGATACAATCAGAAAAAATTAATCAGGGAAGGGGGTTAGAGAAACAAGACAAACTGACTAACTAACTAACTGGCCGACTTACTGACTGACCTGATCTCTCAATAGCATTAGGCCATTGTCACCATCGGAGACCTGCAAGTTGTGTGTCACTTGAAGTGGTTTCTCTCCAGGTTGCAGCTTGATCACGTATTTGGATGGGAAATAGCCAATACGTCCCAAACATTTTCCCTTCCACCAATCTTGATCAGATGTGTCGATAACTGTTACTTTGTAACCGGCTCTGGAACGTAACACATTTGAATTGCTTTGTAACTGAGGGTCTGGTGATATGGAAACTTACAAGCACTGAAAATTTACAGAGATAAAAATTCATGAAAAACTAAAATAATAGTATATATTTCCTTTTAAATGACAGGATACTGAACTATAAGGCACAGAAATGAAAGCGGCAACCATATATATTTGTTGCTTGGTAAGAAGGACTTATGTCAACAATAATTTGTACTGACCTAAGTCATTACTAAATATTCAAACATTCAAAAGAGAATCATTAAAATTTTGGTAGGCACTAAAAGGAGAACCTCATGCAGGGAATTGTTTACGAAGTTTAATATTCTTTCCACTAGTCAGTGAATTCTTGCTCATTGTATTCATTTGTTGTATACAGCGTAGAAAAATGTCAAACAAACTCAGATATTCACAAGATACTGACATAACCTTCACGTGCCAAACACTGAACTCGGTAAATATAAAAAGGAGTTTACTGCACTGTAATTAAGTTATTCAACAATCTTCCCTCCTCTATAAAAAGTGTGAATCACGATGTATAGAAGTTTAGGCCAACACTAAAAGAGTATCTCCTGTATCGCTCCTTCTACTCCATAGAAGAATTTTACCTCAACCAAATTTTTTTTTGCTGTAATACTGTAGTTGACTGTAAATTACTGCCATAATTATGTAATTTATATTTGTATTAGAAACAATTATTGTGTTTTGTGCCATGACACGTTCTACATCCTCGGCTTAGTCCTGTGAAGGATCTACGGAATGTGAATAAATTATATTTTATTATTTAGTATAAATATTTAAGCAGCATGGAAGGTTATAAGACTTAAGTCATCACTGAGTGCAAAAGCTTAAGGGTCTATTTGAATGAATAACACAAAAATATGTACTTACTTTAGATCTAATTCATCCGGATGCCTAGATTTGAAGTTATATAACACTACATATAAATTGGTTGGTAACAAACGGTGAGGTTTCTGAAAAAGAAATAACAATCAACTAGGTGTTGCGTGTAACGTGTACTTAGGGTCTAGGAACATATATAATGGAGACTCTATGTCAGTTGTTAATTTAAGCTTTACAATGATGATTTGGAGCCCACGTCCTCTGCATAGAAATAACAATTTTGAAGTACAGGAACGTGCAAATTGTGGCGAATAATATTTTAAACAGGATATTCAGGAAAATTAAGGTCTCCTCTGTCTGATGATATTTTGCAGAGACTAATAAATGGTTTTTATGGTAAATGCAGCATGCCTGTACTTTATAATGTTACATAATATGGCATTTTGAAGTCGAGATAAGAATGTCGTCGACACAAAAACTTCCTTTCCACAATATTAATAACAATTATGTGATTAATATGAAATAGAGTAACAATCAATAACCTAGTGATGAACCATTTAATAATAAAATAAATGACTCTGGAACAAATTTTGAGGAATATTTACAATCTCTGATGAATTTTATTCATTGACAAAGACTGAGGTTTGAATGAACATTAATACAAATTTAGACAAAAAACAATTAATTTTTCGTTGCAATAACCATTATCAATTAATGAACAAATACAATTCATGTGATTAGAGAGAACAGGATGAGATTGTTGGACATGTAGCATGCATGGGAGAAAGAATATACTTGAAATGAAGAGACGTCTAAAAATATGGGAGAATATTTAAATTAATCTTGCAAAAATAAGGTGTGAGAGTGTGGACTGAGTTTAATTGGCTCAGGATAGAGTCTACTGGCAGGATCTTGTGAACACTGTAATGAACATTCAGGTTCCATAGAGAGGGGGGATTTTCTGATCACCTGACTGCACAGAGTCAGTTACCTACTGAGTCTTTTTTGTAAAACATGGATTTAAGAGACAGGTTCAAGTAAGCGCTGGGAACTTCGCAAAAGATTTGCCGCTGCGCACTTACCGGTGAGGGGCAGGGTGAGGTACTAGCAGATGAAAGCGACTTCTCGTTTTCATCGGGTAATTCCACGGAGCTCATCCGCATGTTTCTCGCTGAGAGAAGTCGCCGATTATGTACGGGGCTTGATGGCGCTGTAATTACACTTAAATTGTCTCAAATATCCAAACGAGTCTTCGCTTCCAGAAATCATGTTCTTACACTTGACTGTGAATGACAATGATGGAATGTGTATGTTATGATACCAGTTTCTTTCTGTAAGCCAAGTCAACTTTTTAACTTAAATTTATCATGAAATGTTCCATCCATCATTAAGCACTTCTGTCTCATTACACATTTATTTCAAAGACAGTGTTGTTGAAGGCAAATGTATTAGATATTTGCGTGTAACTTATTCTAATCTATTGCACAAATATCACGGGTCTCTCTGTAATTAAGTAATTTTTAATTACAGTTTCAGCTATTGTCTTGAAACACAGACCCATCTTCTATGTAAATATTTACTTTTCAGAACTGAACTCTGCGTCATACTTACAAGACAGTTTGCACGGATCGCAAGGAATTTCACTGATATGTAGGCAAAAACCATCTATTCAAAATATCATTTCACCGTATAAATCTTAACAAAAAATAAAATATATCGATGCATAATTTTTTTTAAAAAAAGAATTGGAATCATTAGTTGGGTTAGTAAATTTTTGGGGCCCCTCATATAGACCACAAAAATAAATGTTGCCAATTTCTCTCACCATCACAGCCAGAAAATCTTTAGAACACATACGAACCCCTGCTTCAAGAGTAATGAGTCGTATTAGTCAAAAGGATATGGCGGCTGGAACACGATATTGTCCAACGTCCTAAAGATGGAGCTTTGCACGTGCTCTGATCAATAACATTTCTCCGTTGTACGTACATTATTAACAGCGTGTGTTTGTTAACAAAGGAGTGAACACTGCCACAAAGGATGTTAATTGGCTAGTGAATACTTGCTTTGTCATCCCGTTGCATAAACTAAGCCAAGACAGAGAATCTACAGTAGAATTCATACGCCACCAAGTAAGATGACGTGGGCTAGTGACTATTCAGTCCTTGGATGTAGAACTCGTTGTTCTGTTTACGTCCTGACAGTTTAGAGCTAAATCAGCAAAAGAAGTGGCCTGATATGTGTTTCAAATGAAGCGAGGAATTATAGAGAAACCCGTGATAAATGACATTGAGGTAAAATACTTTAAATTCAAATAAACGTCTACTTTGTGTGAGTGAAAGCGAAAAGCTTCTAAGATCATTACTTACGTGACACGTAACAGGACCAATGCAGTGTGGAACTACGTGATACTTTGCGTACTCAAACATAACAAAACAGACACTGGAAGAAACATGTAAAGCTTTTTATATACAGCATCACTTAGGATTAAACTTCAAAAATACTTTAATTTTTCAAATACTACTGTAATGCTAACAATAAATGAATACGTACACAAATATTACAAATAAAAAATACATTAAAGGCATGCGTACATTTATAAAGTAATGCTAATAAAAATGTAAGCCTCTTTTTTTTTTGCAGAATAAGACTGAGATTACAATAATCACAGCAGAACCACAAAATCGTGATTTATCTCAAATTTGTAACCATTAATTTAACAATATTAGGTTAGACAGCATTCAATGTTTGAAGTAACTTAGGTCCAATTAACGAGATACATTTACTTCCAAAATTCGTGTTGTGGTAGTCATTATATCCGCATTTATTTCTGATTTACTGAAATGTTATATATAGTATACGTCATTTGATTGGTTAGGTCACGTCAGAATTTATTCTTTAAACTGAGTTCCTGTTTAAACACGCATTTACAGGCAAAATTTTGAAGAAAGAAAATCCTCGATCTGACAATAGAACGCATATCTAATTGTGATCTCTACTACGTCTAGCAAAATGTGTCTTGTCGTTTCGCTGTAATGACCAATTTGACGTCGGACGTAATTTGAGTCAAAGGCGAATTAAGTACTAGCTATAAAAGCATTTTCATTAATCTATCGATAAGCGCCATGGAACGTCTGATGGGAGCATTTAAATAAATTTGCCGCTTAATTCAGACCGCGAATTCGTGCTCTTGCCTGATCGAAGTTCACTGAAGAGCCCCACTGAGTATTAAAAGTGATTTGTTTTGTAAGCTCAGCCTTCATATGTAAAAGAAATGCAAGTAAGTTAAATTAAGGCGTGAATATTAGAATAAAACTAATTTGTACGATCTTCGAAAATTGGGGATATTTTCACTGTGAAATATTAAATGCGTGTATGTGACCAAGAAGTAATTGATTTTAACTATACATAAAAATATCGCTTGCAAGTTGTTTCAATTTACTGCAGTTACAGATTTCAGTTTATAATTCATAAATTTTAACTGCTGGTTTAAATAAACGAAATCACCATTACGTTATGCACTTTTCTGAGTTGTGTTGCAAGGAAATCGGAATTCGGATAAAAATACTTTAAAATACCCAATTCACAGTAATTTTAAACTATACTTAATGTGAAAAAAAATCATATAATTGATTTGTGTGTTTGAAGAAAATCCATCGGTTTTAATTTCCTTAGACATTTCATAACAAAATTTAATTTCAAAATTGGAAACTGAAAATGGTGGGAATTTCAACTGGAATATACACATCATCACAAAAATAAATACATAAATATAATTTTTTTTTCAAAATAATGACACCTACTGAATAATATTTATAACTCAGGAAATCTCTGTAATCAAATAAAATAAATTGTATACACCTAAATGAATTCCGAAAAGCTTTGTCGTAGCAATTTCTTTAACCCGACAAATGCGATATAGAAATTGTAATTATGAAGGTCTGAAACAAAAATATTTCTGTGGTCTATCAATACGCGCGTTAACTCCATTACACGAAATTTATTTTATCTCAAACTCAAGAAAACTTAAGACAGAATATCCGTCACCAGATGCTATCGAATAATGATTAAATTACTGAATTCTTATATTACTTCGGTTTAAGACGACGAAAAGTTTTGATTACAGCCTCAAAATTTAAAATTAATGTCCTGGTCTGAGAAATGTAAGAACTAAGCGTTTAGTGCAGGCATTTTGGATTATCGGGATAATTTTATGAGAGTTCTTGGAAGATATTCTGGAATCTGTTAAAGATCTTAAAAGTGGAATAAAATACCTACTGAAATATTACGAGATATGAGATACTCAGGGCTAAGAATATGGCGATTTTGTGAAAGAAATCAACATCGTAAATGCGTTAATAAAATATTACATTTTTAAAGGAACTAAGTTTCTAATGAGCAGGCTAAATAATTATTCTTCCGATTAAAACATAATTAATATTAATTAATGATTCGTACTTGACCAAGAACGACCGTTATGGATAAACAGAGTTCGTCGTCCAATTGGACCGGAACGGACGGACGAATTCGGTGGGCCTAGCACACACAGAGGATGAAACAGCACACAATCAGATTACGAAGGCGCGTACGCACTTAACAACAACAGGGAATTCGTTTTCAAAACCAACTTCAAACTGTTTCGAGAACCGACATATTTCCGAAATTATTAGAAACATCGACGAAGCGGTGTGCGGTCTAGACAGCCCCAAAAAATTAGGATTGTGCGTTCGAATCCCGCCCAAGGCACCGACCGAGTCGTTCGCCTGAGATAAGAGAGGTGTAATTATTAAAATTATACAAATAATTATCCGCATTCTGTCCGTACCAATTTGTACATTCTGTAATCGATTTTAAACCAGCTGATAGATTTCCACGAAACTTGTTCGTATGAACATCAAGATGACAGACCAGTGATAATATAAGGACCTAAAATTTTGCCTTAAAACATCTTAAAATAAATATACATTGAAATAACTTACGTTTTAAAAACAAATGAATGTAACACATCCTTTCGTCGAGTGCGCGTGTTTGAATATCAGTGGCGGAGAGTGACTTTTTGAAACGTGTTAGCCAAGTCCCCAGGCTTGGGGCCATAAAGGTTTTAGCAGTTGAAAACAAGAGTTTTTTATTCTGCGTTTTTAAAAGTGTTAACATGAATGCTCTGCTTACGACGTGTATCTGCGTGTGTGTGGGAGACTCAGGTGTTTCTTATAGAAATTCCAACCCTTTAGGATTATTTTGTGTTGTTATGGATGGAAAAGAACGCAGTGGATGCTTAAACACTTTGCTGGATGTTTATATACCGCGTCACGTGATAAACTACTTATCTGATTGATGCATTACGTCTCTCGACATCGCCTATGGTACGTGGTCCTATGATTGATTTATGAGGCCACCGTTCGGTTGAGTTGTAATCAAAATGTCTTGTTTAAGTGTTCTGATCTATTCAAATGTATGCAAATTATTGAAAAATATGAGATGGCAGCAAAATTGACGCATATTTCTACAGTTTTCGATGACGTAGACGCATGGGATTTGGAAGTTCGTGTTGGTATTTTATCAAAACGAAATCCCCCTTAGGATTTTAGAACTTAAGTGATAAATTCATCATCATCAGCGGCATTTTTAATGCTGTAAACAGAATAAAATGATTTACGCAGATCCACAGTAAAGCTTTGTTAATCACCTTCTTTCGCTGTGAAATATCTGCTGTATGAAGCAACATTTACATACTAAGACATTATAATGATAACGAAGAAACTATTTTTATATGAACTCACCATTAAAAAACAAAAGTAACAAATTCTAGCAACGGTCAGTTTGGAAATAGTGATGCTGAAACATAATACAAGCTAAAGACGACATAAATGAATAGTAAAGTAAAGAAACAGTCAACAGAGTAAGAGATTCAGCAAAAAGTTTGTAGGCCGCAGAAATGTAGCTGTGAGATGTTTAGAGCAAAATTTAATTAGCTAAAACATTTTTTAGAAAAGAATTCTTATTGTCAAATTTCAGCTAAATCGGAAATGAAAGATCATTCCCCCTATTTGCCGGTCTATTTTATGAATTTTGTGCAAATATAAGGGGAAAAAAACTTGTTTGTAAGCTTCTCTGTGAAAATACAGAATTCTTCTTATGAAACTGTGAAGAAAACGCGATCTACTACGCACTTTTACGCTTTTCGAAGTCTTAAAAAAAAAATGTAGTTTTCTCGAAACACAAAATGGAAATGTTTTAAGAAGGTTAGAAATAAACAGTTGATGGAGAAGATTAACACTTCTAAGAATTTTGCTTCCAAAAACGAGAAGTAAGCTTATTACAAGTTTCGCTGTGTTTGGTCTAAATATCTCGTATTACCAAAAAAAAAAAAGTTACAAACGCAAATGCGATGACGAGGCACACACACACACATGGGCTGAAACGCAATGCGTAAAAACAGAAGAAACATCAGATCGAGCGAAAATGTGCGCACGCGTAGCCAGAAGGAACCACCACATGGAAAGAAAACACATGAAAAAAAGACATTTTCAAAGCATCCGGGACCATCACTCAGGCAAACGGTCCCTTTCGTTTCGTCTGCCCTGAAGAAAATCACGCGCGTTCACTTATGAGCGTCGCCTAGTTTCTTGAAACCTCGCTGGAGGTCGTGCCATGTTTGTACTCTGTAACTCCCTTCACGAAAATATCACTAACGCAATATGAGATTTTAAGTTTCTACGGGCGTCAGAATGTTGATTGTGATTATGAAGGTTAAACGTACAGCACAATCGAAATTGTGTCTTTAAAACTTTAAAAAATTTTTTTAGTAATTTGGCTACCGTCTGAAATTCTTTTTCCGTCTTTTATGACTAGCCCGTGTGATGAATTTTCCAACTTGAACGTCTGAATGTGCGGTCGCTTGTTATAAACGGGTTTGCTAGTCTCAGTGACAAAACAGAATCCTTCGGGAACTCCAAAACGACAGCCATTAGAGTATTTGAGGGGTTTCTCCCTCGCGCCATCTTGTGAAAGACCTGGATCTGGGGATTACGATCGGATTGGCGAGAGTGATGGTCTCCACGGAACGCTCTGACGTTCGAACAACGAGCAATGAATTCTGAGAAGAGTTACACTGGATGCGAGATGAGGACTGGCTACTCTGGGGGTCGACGCAGGTTGACTGCGCTGCGTGTCGGCGTCTCTGAGCATGCTCCGTCGACTCCGGAGAATCTAGTGACAAACTTTTCATGCGAAGATTTAACTTCTGTTTCCTTGGGCTGTGTGGCGCTGCGGAAAAACATCATTCATAAAAGTACATAATTTATACACACACACATCGTTTGTAATTGTAAATCTACATCGTGGGCCT